TGCATTGTAGTTCAATGGCAATGACTGATTCAAAACTGTCGTCTGACCTTTTCACCCCCTGATCTGCTTCACCCTATTATCATCTTAACCCTTTTATGCACTCAATAATGCCTACAAACCTACTTGTCTTGGGCCACATCGAGAAAAGCAAACCTGGAAAACCAAAAACAACTCCAGCAAAACAAAAAAACAAAAAACCCAAACTGTTGAGAGAATGTTTGGTTTTGACTCAAAAGATTTTTTGGTTTTCCCTAGGTTTGTTGTTTTTTGTTTTGAAATGGAAAAAACAAAAACTTTGTTCTGTTTGGTTTTTTGAATGGATATGATCAATCAAGATCTCAAAAAAAACTCATGTGTTTTTTGCGTTTTTGTTTTTATTGTTATGGTTTGATATGGTTTCAAAAGCCAAAAAACAAAAAAAAACTGCAGTTGTTTTTGTTTTTTTGAGATATTGGTTGATAGCATGTATGCAAAAAAAAGCCAAAAAAAAACACGTTTTTTTGTTTTTGTTTTTATTGTTATGGTTTGATACGGTTTCAAAAGCAAAAAACACTTGAGTTTTTTGGTTTTTTGAGATATTGGCTGGTAGCATGCATGCAAAAAAAGAAACTCATTGTTTTTTTTGCTTTTGAAACCAAACAAAACTAGGGAAAACCAAAAAAATATATATTTTGAGTCAAAACCAAACATTCTCTCAAAAGTTTGTTTTTTTTGTTTTTTTTGGTTTTGCTGCTCTTTTGGCAAGATTGCAAAATCAACATATGATGCGGCTGTGTGTCTCTGCATGTGTATATTAATGTTTAGTTTACCAGTAGTACCGCACAAGGCGGTGGCGGAAGTTTCAGAAATAGGACACCTATAGGAGCGGTTGGTTGTTGTGAATCACGGATGGCGGGGCGAATCCACTGATGGACCGAAAGGTGGTTGGGGTTGTGTTTTTTGGAGTGGTTGCAATCGTTGTAGTGGTCACCTCACTGGCAACTCCTGGATGTAGTGTGGTGTAGCGCAGTAGTTGTAGTTGTAGTTGTAGCTGTAGTGTAGTTGAAGCTGCAACTGTCTTATTTGTAGTAATTGTAGTAGTTGCAACAGTTGTAGGGGTTGGAGTTGTAGTTGCAACTATAGTTGTAGCTGTAGTTATAGTGTAGTGTCGTGGTAATTGTTGTAGTAGTAGTGTAGTTGAAGTTGTAGTTGGGGTGTTGCAGTTGTAGTAGCTGTTGCAGTTGTAGTTGTAGCTTGTAGCTGCAGTTGTGGTTGTAGTGGCACTTGTAATTGCAGTTGTAGTTGTAGTAATTGTAGTTGAGGTTGTAGTTGTAGTTGAAGCGTAGTTGAAGTTGTAATTGTGGTTGTAGCTGTAGTTCTTGTAGTTGAAGTGTTGTTGGAGTTGTAGTTGATGTGTAGTTGTAGTTGTAGTTGTAGTGTGGTGTAGTGTGGTGTAGTGCAGATGAAGTTGTCTATCTATCTGTCTCTCTGGGTATTTTTTTATCTATTGATTGATTTGTCTTTCTGTTCACGATCTGTCTGTCTATCTATCTGTCTGTCTATCTATCTGTCTATCTGCACGCTTGAAAACGAAGCTATTCTACGAGACTTCCTGAATTTTTGAACTTGACAACATCAAAATCGCAGCAATTCTGTGAGACTTCCTCAATTTTTGAACTTGACAACATCAAAAACGAAGCAATTCTGCGAGACTTCCTCAGTTTTCAAAGTTGACAACATCAAAAACGAAGCCATTCTGCGAGACTTCCTTCAAAAATGGAAAGTTGAGTACAGAGTTGACGGCCTCGTACCATTGCGCTTGCGATTTTTCCCCTCCACCTGTCTAAAGTACTGTGCGTGCCACGAAAAAGTGATGCCAGGTCATACGAAGTGCTGCACCTGTCACGCAAAATCATCTCAGCAAACCTGAAGATCTGAGGCTCCAAAATGCAACCCTTCTCATGAAATCAGCGCCCGGACCTCCTAACATCTCTGGTGAACATGTCTCTTGTACTGCGCCTGTCACAGAAAATGCATTTTTGCTGATCCTCTTCAAATGTCCCCTCACGTTTTGCTCACTTTTGACAAGGTGCACAATCCCTTGCGCCTGCCACGCGAAACGACACCTGAACATCCAAAAGTGGCGCGAACCCCTAGTGTTATTAACATTTTGACTTCGAAATGTGCTTCGCGCCACAACGGCGTGCACTTTTTCGACATCGCAACTTCCAAAAGTGGTCCGGACCTGGTGTGTTTTGTACATTTTGACTTCGAAATTTGCTTCGCGCCACAACGGCGTGTACTTTTTCGACATCGCAACTTCCAAAAGTTTTCCGGAGCTGGTGTGCTTTGTACATTTTGACTTCGAAATGTGCTTCGTGCCACAACGGCGTGCACTTTTTCAACATCGCAACTTCCAAAAGCGGTCCGAACATGTGGTGCTTTGTACATTTTGACTTGGAAATGTGCTTCGCGCCACAACGGCGTGCAATTTTTCATCTCTCATCTGGCCAGATGGCTCCGCACCCGCCACTTTAGCGAGCCTACCTTTCGACCCTCCGGAGCCACAAATCATAGGAAAAACATAGTGTTTCGCGACTCTCCTACCTTTTCGCGCACCTGCATCTTCTTTCTTCTGACTCTTTCTCTTCTCTGATCTTCTCTCTTCTACTCTTCTCTTCTCTCTGGCTTTTCCCATCTCTGCTTTTCATCTGTCCATATTGTCGGAAGTTTGACTTCTAAACTTCCTTCGACGACCTTGGCAAGCAAGATTCAACATCAGCACCTTTGTGTTGCATCACTGTACGTCACGTCATCTTCCCAAGATGTGCATGCATGATCTTGGCAAGTCTCACTGAAAAAATATATAATGTGCTGTGATGTTTATGCACTTGAAAATTAACCGTTGCAGCGCTTTCCTGCTCTATCTCTACCAACTTCTGACTGGGCGTGACCTCAAGTGACTAGGCACATCATCGCTCCTCATGTCGTTGCAGCCTTCTACTTTGTGTCCTATCGCTCGTGTAGCGGCGAAGAGAACCCGGGCCCGAGACGGCTTTCTTCGCGACCATTCACGTCTCATTGTGGAATACGAGAGCCTCTCGCAAGTTCTGCCAGGTCCGACGCTTGATGCTTCCAAAAGGACATGGGAGCGGTCGATGTTTCATGCTTGAAATATCTTCCGCTATGTGGAAGATTGTGATGAAAGTGAAAACCGCGCGGACTTCTTCAACTACATCATTCACAGCTACTGCGTGGTCTTCACCATTGCTCCGTCGTACCGTCTGCCGCTGCCAGATCCCGCGAACCGCTGCACCGATTCTAAGTGGGTCCGTGAGATTCTTCGTGTTCTCATCATTCTTCAGGCAGCTAAATCTGACTGAAAGAGCAAGCATATATGTGGAAAGGAAAGGAAAATGGATCGCGCAAAGGGATGAACAGAAACGGTGTTTGCATTGACATCTTGTCTCTGCATCAATCACCATCTTGCATGTATGCTGCTGCATGTCTATCTCTGGGTTGTGACATGTTGTTCACAGAGAAAGCCATCGGTTTTCATGGCGAGCCCGGGGCTGGGAAGACCCCAGTGGCACGCACGATTGCCATGGCTATGTCTTTCGCCAGGCATCGGCGTTTGACTTCTTCCGAGGCCAAAGTGGTTCCATCTTTCGCCCCGACATCTTTGATGATGGCACCTTCTGTGAACAACAATTCCAGAAAATCAAAGCTTTCACCGATGTCGGCAACATTGAAAGCATGTCAAAAGAAAGGTGGGAGCTGCCAAGTGGGTCAAGGGTCAGCTCAGGATCTATTGCGTCAATGACTTTGATGCAGCCCAAGAACCAAAAGATGATATGTCCGTGCTGCAGAAGCAGTCTGGTCAACTATGTCTCCCACCAGGACCGGACTTCATGAAGATGCTCGACATCGCATGGTTCGCAAAGCAGGCCAACCCAAGCAACATCATGGCCGTGCTGAAGCGCACTCATCTGTTCATCAATACAAAAAGCTTTCTCCATGTGAGACTCATGACCTGTGATGCGCATACCTTTGGTTGACAAAACCGATTTTCTTCACCTGGAATCCCGCACAGTCTACGACTTCTACCGCAAAGGTGGTACAGCTCTGGCCCCGTGATTTCCAGAAGAAAGTAGTGTGGGAGATGGAGCTGGAAGACCGGAGAAAGTCCCTCTGCGCACAACTATCCTGGGCAACTCTTTGTTCGGTGCTTCACAGCCTGCTCGTGTTCCACCTTGACACGGAAGCGTGCATGTACGACACTCCAGGCCACCACGGCTCCCATGGACATCTCCGACGATGCCCGGAGCCCTCTGAAACGAAAGCCAGCTTGGGGCAAGACTTGCTCATCTTTCCTGCGCTTCTTCCATCTGCTTCCATCATTGACATCTCCGACTCCCCAGTACGTCCACCATCCTCATCGACTTCCAACATTTTCCCTGTGAAGGCTGAGCCCCTGGAGTCAGACACATTAGAGGAGGCGTTGGGCACAATGATCGAGAACATGGATCCTGAGCCTGCGATGGAGGAAGCTGAGGAAGCTGACAACTTCGATGCAGACGAGGAAGTGGCCAACAAAATGCATGAGGACGATTGCTGAGTAGCTGATGCTTGTCAGAAGTGATGTCAGGTTGACAGTGTATATGAAAGCATCGATGGCTGCCCCGTGCCACTGACAATCGCTGCAGAAGAAAAAAGAGTTTTGCTTCTAGCACATATCTATGTGCTTTCCCAAACTCATTTCATATTCTGTTTCAGGTGCATTGAAGGTCTTCTACTGATTGTAACTCAGTATCCTTCGAAACTGCATCTTGGTGCTGCTCTGCTGTGTCACTGTCATGCCTTTCAGTTGCATATGGCAGAAGAATGCTTGATTGAGTGTATTACTGCAAAATACTGCAAACATATGCATAACTTTGTTCTGTCTAGTCGCTTTCAGTCTTACATGAGTCCTTTGCCTACCAAGCACAGGTGCTATATTGTCTGCAAGCATCTTTCGCATCATGGGCTTTGTTCGTAGTCGTTGCTTCAAACTTTCACTGAGAGCCATGCCGAAGCTTCCTATGAAATACCGATCTCCATCTCCACCATGGCCGGTTCCAAAGCGCGGCAAAGCCCGCAATCATGGGAAGCGGCCAAGTTCCTCTATGGCAGTCTCTCAGAAAAAGAACTTCAAGGCTATGCCCTATGTCCGCGGACCAAAGGTCCAGAACAAATTTGGCAAAGAGCGAAATCACTACGGTGTTTCCATCGAGAGATTGGCTTCCATGCAGCCTCGGCAGTTGATCCACAAACTCACGAAGGATGGCATTCTACCAGCTTGGAATGGATCTACATGTCTTCATTGTGCTGAAGGCCGCCTTGGAAAGTTGCGCTACTTCAAGGAAAGAAAGCATTGGGCCCATCGCTGCTCCCGCAAAGGATGTCAAAAGCTGACACAATCACATAGCTTTCACCCTATCTTCTTCGGTGGCTCAGGTTCCAGCGTGACGTCTCTGGGACAACAAGCTGCTATCCTTTGCTGTGCAGTGGCAGGGGTACCAGTGACAGCCACTCCACTCATCCCCGACATGGACGACAAGGCAGTCTTCCGCATCTATGAAGGACTTGAAAAAGGTTGTGCCCAGCATATTTGCCAAAAACAGAAGCATATTAAATATGGTGGTGATGATGCCGGGTGGGATGTGGAAGCAGATGAAGTGGATCTGGCAAAGAACATTGTAGAGACGTCCATTACGTGGGAACAGTGGGGTGGTTTGGTAGAGCGAGGGCGACCAGAATCCTTGTGTCTATTCCGGCTGAAACCCAAGGACACAAACAAAAGAGTACCAGGACCAGGACCCATCCGTCGGCGAGATTGGAAGCCTATCGCCGACAAGTTCTTGAAGAGCAGACAGGTCATCTTGCATACGGATGGTGCACGCGCATACAAGATGAACATTCGTGGCATCGCGCACTACAACGTCGTCCACAAGAAGAAGAAGATTCTGCAGAATGGCAAATATGCCTGGGTGAAGCCACACTAAACAAAAGTGTACAAACATAAATTGCCAACTGGCAAAATTGTACAGATCAAATCCGGCACCCAAATAATTCACCGGTTCTGGCAGCACTTGCGCACGTATCTCACGTATCTCAAATATGCCACACGACAAGTTGGCTCGCCCGTGCTATTGCGAAAAATTCGGGCCGCCCAATGGACATTGGCATAATAAACCAAGATGGCTGGGGCGCAATGGGGAACATGCTGCGATAGCTTCGTAGCTGCTAACTTCGTCGACATCAGCGTCGGTGGAAAAAATGCTACAAACTGTTGCATTCATGCTTCACAATTGTCTGTCTCAAAGCTCCGCGAAATTATGATCATCATCCTTCAAAAAAGCATTGCTCATCCTCACCTGGCAAGTTCCATACCCCTCCACAAACCTGGAAACATTAAATGTGTCCATCCCAGTTACCCGCGACACAATTACACAAAACTACATAGTTTCTAGCAATTCCTTTGCCTCCTTTGGGCGCGTTAGCTTGCATTTGCTGCGGGCTGGTGGTTTTGACATTGTCTACTTGCATCCCGATTGGGTTCCCTGGTGCGTCGATGTCGGTCGGGTCGCTCTGGCTGACTCAACAATCCTCGGTTCCCCGAGGGTTTGCATCCTATTGTTATCGTTAGCATACCACTCAACCGTCTGACTTCGCACCCTCTGACGCGTTGGCTCGCATCTGGTGCGGGCTGGTGGTTTTGATATTGTGTATGCATGTGTATGCACTTACATTGGGGATCATTGGGGTAGATCATGGGGGGAGTGAGTATATATATATATATATGTTTCATATATATAATATATTATATTATATATATATATTATATTATATATATATGTCAT